GTATTAGTTTTTATACTTAGGAACTGAAGTAGAACTATAGCATATAGGATTTTAAGCCCTTCCTTTAGCAATTGCCAGCACATCCCATCTTCCCAACACCACTTCATACTGAAAGGTCTATTTTTCACTATTTAAAGAAAGGAGAGAAAACTAAGAGAATCCTAAATATAAACCTATTCCCATTAGTGCTGCAAACGTGCTGAGAGCTTGATTACAGAGACATGTCCAGAACATGACCTCAGATGAATCTGGCCCATCCTGAGTGTGATGTGAAAGGTGAAACATGTAACTCTCTAACCTATTACCACCAGCAACATAATATTTAGAAAGCCTTTCAGTGACCTCTCCTCAGGAAATCTGACAAGATGGCCAAGGGACAGAAACCTCAACCTTTCAGTTTTCCAATGGGGTGCTTCATTTTTGTTGGTCCTTTGTAAAACAAATGGCTGGGAGAACATTTGTTATTTCCCTATGGCAGGAATAATTGATTAGCAGCACTACATTTCACAGAACCCCAGACTGGTTTAGGCTGGAACCTTAAAGCACATCCAGTGCCAACCCCTGCCATGGGCAGGGACACCTTCCACTAGAGCAGGTTGCTCCAAGCCCCTGTGTCCAACCTGGCCTTGAACACTGCCAGGGATGGGGCAGCCACAGCTTCTCTGGGCACCCTGTGCCAGCGCCTCAGCACCCTCACAGGGAACAGCTTCTGCCTTATCTCCAACCTGAACTTCCCCTGTTCCAGTTTGAACCCATCACCCCTTGTCCTGTCACTCCAGTCCCTGATGAAGGTCCCTCCCCAGCATCCCTGTAGCCCCTTTCAGACACTGAAGCTGCTCTGAGGTCTCCAGCAGCTTCTCTTCTTCAGGCTCAACAGCCCCAATGTTCTCAGCCTGTCTTCATTTGCCTGAGGATCTTGTTTCTGCCCCAAAACAATAAGGTTCATGAGCTGCAAAGGTGCTGAGAACTTTCCTTGTGTAAAGCTCAGCTCTCTGGGTACTTAAACTTTTCCTCCTGCTTAATGAACTTGTAAATCTGAGTCATTAAGCATCTGAGCACACAGGCATGACTTTCATCCAACACTCCAACCCCTTTCTACTGTTCACACGCTCTGGCATTCCTAACTAATTTCTTTAAATCAACAGAATTTGAGCCAAGCACGTGCTTTTCATTAAGGCCTATTCACAAGCTTCATAAGTTTTAGCTATTCACTTCTTATGAGAAGTAAAAGCAATAATTCAATCACTTCTTCCCCAAAAAGCAAGTTTGATGGAGAGATCACCACAGAAGTTCTCATTTTGCAGTTCTTCAGGAGATGAGGCAGAACCTTCTCTCTCAGTTGATCATCTCACATGATGACGATGATGCCCCATCCCTGGCAGTGCTCAAGGCCAGGTTGGACACAGGGGCTTGGAGCAACCTGCTCTAGTGGAAGGTGTCCCTGCCCGTGGCAGGGGGGTGGAGCTGGAGGAGCTTTAAGGTCATTTCCAAACCAAACCAGTCTGAGATCCTGTGATTCCCACACTGTTCAGCTGACCACAGTGGCTATGCCCCACCTGGCAGCACGGTACCACTGGAATAAGCGGGATACAGACACCACCATCACCAGGACTCACTTCCTTATTTTAGGAAGTTAAAGCAAAGCCAGTACAAAGCTGTTCTTCATATCCACATCTCGTGAAAGCATTAGGAAACCACATGTGCAGCCTGTGAATTTTTACTACAGACAAGTATCATATCATGAGAAAGTCTTCAAAATGTGGGATTTATGTGGCCAGATGCAAACCTTTACAGCACAGACACCTCCCTATTCTCTTTATAGGCAATGGACAGAAGCAAGCAGACAGAGATTCATTTCCTCCCAAAGTACACGTCCTGTCAAATGAATCACAACTCAAACTATGCCCATCTCTCTCTTCAGGTTGTAAGTGGAACACGGTCTCACAAAAGCCATCACTGGAAAGAGTTCATGGGCTGATTACTCAAGCCTGGATTCCTGGAGGAGGTGGGAACCTGCCTGCTTGGTAGGAGCAAAAGGACACCTGACAAGAAGAGGCTAAAACTGCTTTAAAGGAAATAAACACTATCACCAGTGTTTTAAGGTTGATGTCAAAGGTAAGCAGCAGTGGAGAAAGTGTACCTGTAAAATAGCAGAGTTCATGTGGGAGGGGATAGAACCATAGAAGAGTTAGGGCTGGAAAGGACCTTAACCCATGACAAGTGCAGCATAAACCAAATGGGAGCATGGAGTGAGAAAAAAAAGAGATTACTCTTTTACTTAAGAAAGCTGCAGTCCTTTCCCTCCTGCTCTCGTGCTCTGATCATTAATCACACCGTAGAGTCCCAGACTGGTTTGTGTTGGAAGGGAGCTTAAAGCTCCTCCAGCTCCAACCCCTGCCATGGGCAGGGACACCTTCCACTAGAGCAGGTTGCTCCAAGCCCCTGTGTCCAACCTGCCCTTGAACACTGCCAGGAATGGGGCAGCCACAGCTTCTCTGGGCACCCTGTGCCAGCGCCTCAGCACCCTCACAGGGAACAGCTTCTGCCTTAGATCCAACCTGAACTTCCCCTGTTTCAGTTTGGACCCACAGAAATCCATAGAAAGGATTCTAGACTTTGCCTCAGTTCCTGAAGAACTTTCTTAGCTAAGAAGCTAACAGGCAAAAAGAGCACCTGGGTATGTCACAGCTGATAACTTTAACTTCTGCTGGAACTAGACAATGCCAGATATACTCCTATAGGATACGCAGAATCCACTGGCACAGGGTCAGCAGCAGGCCTGGTGCTGCAGCCCGGATGAAAACCTGTTCCCTTAAGGACAAAGCCAAAAGAAAGGATGTCTCAGCTCAGAGAAAGGGACAGGAGCTACACTCAACAGAACACAGAAACTGTGGGAGATGATGCCTGGGCTCTCAGCATCCCAAGACCAAGCAAAAGCACATGGCTCCAGAAATGAGGTTTCAAGCCAGCATCCAGCAAGGGGAGCTTTAGCAAAGCTGACATCTTCACTTCTTGTCAGCTGTATGATAGCCACTTTCAGAAGGACCCCAGTTCAGATTAGATAGGGTGAGACAGAGCTCCAGTTGGTCAGGTCATGACCAGCTGCTGTAATAGTGAGTGTGCTTCATACTACAAAGAAATGCAAAGGAAATGTGAGAAACCCACCAAAACACATGAATAAAGCAGCAGGATGACCAGCACATTTTCTTCTTTCTCTTTAACAAAGACTTAATGTTAGGTAGTAGAAGAGTTCTCTTCTAACAGAATGTGCCAGATCATAACCAAAAGTTTCTAACACCCCCCCAGGTTGTTTTCCATTAAAAGGCAGACATTTAGAAAGCAGCTTCTTGGTTCAAACCTGCTTTACACAACCAAGAAACAGCACATTTAAGTTTTAAGAGAGCTTATAAAATAAAGACTTTTGATTAAGTAATAAAGAGTTAACTTTTCCTATCACTCTCTTCACAAGCAACAGTGACACCTACTGTTAACACCACCAAATGGAGTCAACTTTTATTACAACTGATAAAACCCACAAATGTATTTTTCCAATGACTTTTGAAAGCACATGAAACATTTCCATCTTGAGGGTTTCCTTTGTAGCACGTCTATTGCTATTACTGCAGCACTGAAGTTATCAACCTGTCTTGTAAAATGCCTTTTAAATACCTCAAACCCAACCTATTGACAAGTGTTTAAAACCTCTATTTCCCCACACATAATATTCTTGAGCTATTGTAATTGAAGTAGATCTGAAAAAGGCCTTTTTACTTACCTTCATGCTAGTATTTTGTGGGTTTCACCACCCAACACCTAAGTAACCACCCAAAAGTGCAGTCACTATACTTCTCTTATACATTATATGTGTTGGAGTAACTGTGAACTGACTTTGTGCCTATTTGCTGGATTATAAGGCAGAAAAAGGTAAGTTTCTGGATTATAGCATAGAAAAAAAGGTAAATTCAACTCAGTGGTTCAACATGTAAAAAGACATAAAACACACATTTAGGTGTGTAGCTGTTTTGTTCTAACTACAGCACCACTCTACCAAGTTAAGTTTGGGTAAGTTGCTTTTTTATCTCCCATTGTTCCAATTTAAGTTTGAATGTTGTTGAGGAGAACAGAGTGGGGCTGTTGTGGTTTAATCCCAGCTGGTAACTAAGTACCAGGCAGCCACTCACACACACAGCCCCACAGTGAGATGGGGAGGAGGCTTGGAGGAAAGGTAAAACCCATGGGTTGAGATAAGAGCAGTTTAATTATCAAAATAAGGTATAATAATCATAGTAACAGTAATAATAATAAAGAATAATAAAGAAAAGGGAAAAAATGAAAGGAAGAAATATACAAACACAATTGATGCACTATACAATTGCTGAGCACCTGCTAACAGATACCCAGTGATCGGCAAACTCCTCCTAGTTTCTATACTGGGCATGACATGCTGTGGTATGGAATATCCCTTTGGATAATAGTTTGGATGAGGTGTCCTGTCTCTGCTCCCGCTCAGTTTCTTGTGCCTCTCATCACTGGCAGAGCATGAGATTCAAAAGTGCTTCATCAAGGTTAAGTGCTATTGAGCAACAACTAAACCATCAGTGTGTTATCAGCATTGCCCTCATCCTAAATCCAAACCACAGCACTGCACGAGCTATTAGGAAGAAAACTACCTCTATTCCAGTTGAAACCAGGACAAAGGCTTTTCCACAGAAGCCCTCCAACAAAGAAGCTCCATGATTCTGACATTCCCAAGGCAAGTCCATGGGTAAATTCCACAGCCAGCTCCAGTTCACAGAGCTCAAGCACCCACATGGCAGAAGCCAAGGAACATACACACTCCAGGCCCCTCTCCTTGTTACCAGAGGTGCATCAGCACTACCTGGGTATCTCCTTTGCACATTCCAGTCCAGAAGAGTTGGTTTTATACTTGAAAAGGCTCCTTCCACACACACATTAAAGAAGTTACCAAGAGCTACACAGAATATTCTCAAACACCTTACCTAAGCAAAGAGAAGACATCGTACGAGTTACGAACACAGTTCTGATCCACCTGGAGAAGACTGTTCTTCAGGGTACCTGAGTGATCCTTAAGGCAAAGGAAGAATGTTAATTTAAGAATCAAAACCTTCTCCATCTTGACTAAAAGCATGCACTTTTGGTAGGACAACAAATAAAACAGATTTAACTTGTTCTCCATCTCTGTTCACACAGTTTTAGGTGCGAGAGGTAGAAACAACGTACGGTGGTAATAAAACCAAGTTCAAGTCTGGCTTACAAGAGCACTTACCTATCAAGATGTTAGTGACCTATCACTTAAACTGTGTTCTAGACAGAGTGTGTTTTCCTGATCTTTATAATCCATTACTGCACAGATTTTATGCACAGAAACACTGAAGGATGCCATTGATAGTGCTGCCATTGTTCAGGTTCAGATCTGAGAGCCTGTTCAGTGGTGGGAGATAAAGCTCTACCCCTTATCCATGCTGAAACACATTTAAAGGATCAAAGCAATCTTAGTTGTGAACGATGTGAACAAGTCTCTGGAAGTTACAAAAAAACACAACCCTTCTATCATTCTTAAGCAACCAAAGTGTACAGTCTGCACAAGAGGCATTGAAACAGTGACAAAGAGCAATTCTTCACACTGCAAAGAACACATACTGAGTTCTTCCATATCATGGTCACACAACTCCAAAAAAGACCACAGACTCACAACTGGTTCTTCACATGATAAAGTGAATTCTAAGTAGGTCAAACCACCCAACAGCACTGTCAGAAAGTTTATGGATTGTAGGAAAACGGGCATTCATTTTAGTGTATGCAGTAGCTGCAGCTAATCCCACGTAGCAGCTGATTTTCCAAGTGACCCAGCTGCACTCAGAGTACCACAGTCCCTGCCTACATATTCCTCCCTCCCTCAACAGGCTGTTTTCATACAGAGCATGTTGTAATGCAGAGTTACATGTCAGCATCTCCTGACACAACTGTGTTAGCCACAGGCCATGCAGCACATTCTTTCCCACAAAACTAAAGTTCCACCTAACTAATCGTGTGATCTGTACACTGCAATATGCATCATATTGCAATCAGGCACCATAGCATAGAATGGTCTGGGTTGAAGGGAGCTTAAAGCTCCTCCAGGTCCAACCCCTGCCCCGGGCAGGGACACCTTCCACTAGAGCAGGTTGCTCCAAGCCCCTGTGTCCAACCTGCCCTTGAACACTGCCAGGGATGGGGCAGCCACAGCTTCTCTGGGCACCCTGTGCCAGCGCCTCAGCACCCTCCCAGGGAAGAGCTTCTGCCCAAGAGCTCATCTCAATCTCCCCTCTGGCAGGTTCAAGCCATTTCCCTTGTCCTGTCCCCACAGGCCCTTGTCCAAAGCCCCTCTCCAGGTTTCCTGGAGCCCCTTTAGGCACTGGAGCTGCTCTAAGGTGTCCCCTTCAGGAGCCTTCTCTTCTCCAGGCTGAACAACTTCTCTGGGCAACCAGTTCCAGTGACTCACCACCCTCTTAGTGAAAGATTTCTTCCTAGTATCTAATCTATATGTTGCTGACTATAAAGCCATCACTTCCATCCAAACCCCCACAAGACTGGACTTGCTTGTTGTGGTTAAAGCAGAAACTGTAGCTGTGCATCACAGAGTCATCTCCTCTCCAGCCAGAGACTCCTTAGACAACCTACCTATACCACAGCACTGCCACTAGCAATTTGGGATAAAGAAAAACCCAACAACCTGTCAGCTGTGCTATTTACTATAGGTAAGTTGAAACTATTCCAGCACCAATGTAGTAATCAGCATTCCCATAGGATTAATGTGGCTACAGCCACGACATTGGCTGGACAAGCACAAATACTCCAGTGGAGTCTTTGGAGAACAGAAACCCTGGGGTGAAACGGTGGCAACATGGAGCAAAAAGATTCCCACTTAAGAGCTACAAGCTCCAGTTTGAAGACTGATAACCAAAACTTAATGTGCTTTTCTACTTGCCATGAAAATGAGTCTTAAAAACCATTCCAGAATGTTCTATGTTTAAATGCAGTATCTGTCTCAAAGAATACAGTCTTATCTCCAGTAACCAGGGGGTTTTGGAATTGAACCACTAGTCTCTGCCTTCCTAAACAGCTCAGATGTCCACGCCACAGAGGCAAAGCAACAGTTCTTTCTCTGTTACATCAAAAAAGGTATTTCTTCTCAAAACAAAGCATTTTTGTGTATTTAAGTGGGAAAATTTCAGTTTCCAAGTTGACTTTCAGCTTGTCAGCAGCAGCAACAAGCCAGAAGCACAAGATGCCCTTACCTTCTGCTCAAATGAAGCTCCGTAATAACCATCGTTGAGACCAAAAATGATCTCATTGGGGTTTCTTGCATGTATCTGTAAAAGAAGGAAAATCATTTCAGTCAGCTTACTATGACTTTACACAGCACACAGAGCACACAGGCATGAAATGCTCTGACAGTTAAAAGCAGTTTTTCAGCACCTGCAATTCTAGAAGCAGAGGAAAACTAAGTGAAAATGGAATTTATCCATAGAAAATGCATGTGCTTCACAGCTTTGGTAAGTCACAGAGTACGTTCAACCATTCCACCTCGAAATCAGAAACACTGGCCAGAGCATCCTTCCTACTGCTGCATTTCCAGCTGGCAAAAATAAGGAGACCAGGAAACTAATCAAAGTAAGTCTTAAGAATAATTAGTTTGCACATAATAGTACATAATGATACTAAAAATGAGGGTTCTGTGGTCATAGGAGACTAAACCATAGAATCACAGGATGCTTTGGGTTTTAACCCTCTTCCCTGTGAGGGTGCTGAGGCGCTGGCACAGGGTGCCCAGAGAAGCTGTGGCTGCCCCATCCCTGGCAGTGTTCAAGGCCAGGTTGGACACAGGGGCTTGGAACAACCTGCTCTAGTGGAAGGTGTCCCTGCCCGGGGCAGGGGTTGGGTCTGGAGGAGCTTTAAGGTCCCTTCAACCCAAACCAGACTGGGATTCTATGAAGTATATGTACAATCATATCACTATTTCCTCAACATGAGGCACTGCAGTTTAAAGCAGGATCATTTGAGAGGCTCACTCAAAAGTGGTACCTTAAAACAGTCAAGATTTAAAGCTCAGAGTTAAGCTAGCATGAATCTCTGCAATGAAACTTTAAAACAAGCCCATCAAATGCATTCATTTCCTTCCTTAGCATTCTATGTATTTGCTCATGCATCCATGAGAATAAACTGTTTTCACATTACCTGCTGGCCCAAGTACTTCAACCCATCCAGATTGACCTTCCATTCAATCAACAGCTGGAAGTGCTCCTTCTTGCCACCCCAGATCCTCACAACAAAGCAAGAGACAGACGTATCGAGACGATCAGGCATTATCCCAAAGTCCAGACTCCTCCATGTCGGATTCTGTGGGTAAAGAGGGATAAAAACAACTCAAACTGAACAATGCAGAATGTAATGAAGTCTATGTCAAACATTAAAT